CATCCATTCCCCATTCTTGTACCAGCATTTCAATTTTCCATTGGGAAGCCACTCTTCCTCACCCTCAGCCCATGTGGTTCAGGGGGGTTTGGCTTCATCCTCAGCTCTGAGGGTAAACACATGAGCCAAGCCTGACCAATCAAGGTTTTCCATTGCCCTGGGCATACATATTGGCTCAGGGATTGACAAGTGACCCAATGAAAATCAATGCTGGGATTTTGCTGGAACTGTTGGAAAAGAGGCATATTCTTTTTCCTAGCATGGCTCAGGTGGTAAAGGTAAGCCTGGAGCTGCTACCTTTGCTTCCACAAGAGAACCTCCCTAAGGATAAAGCCCACAAAGAGGAAGCAAGCCCAGAGGTGGAGAGAGACTACATTTTAACACTATCATTTCAGCACCTAAATCCAATTGTATCTAAATTGACATTTTCCCTTAAAATGAAAGGAGAAACTAAATTCTTTTTTCACTTAGGTAGCTTAAACTGAGTTTCTCTGGCTTAGAGTCAAGTCCTGACTAAGTGAAAGAAACAAAATAAGGTGGAAAACAAGGCCTATAGGAATAATCCACCCCATTTGCATAGTGCTTTTCAGTTAACAGAGTCTTCCTATCCTCCTGAGTCTCTTAACAACCCTGAAAAGTCAGTGGGCTGGGAATTGTTGTCCCTGTTTTGAAAATAAATAGCCACAGCTAAAAGTTATTTAACACCTTTTATATGCCGCTATTCTAAACACCTCTTAGGTAGTTAATGAATCCTTATAGTGACCCAATGAGTTAGCTAATTTTCCAATTGTAGAAACTGAGGCACAGAAAGATAAAATGATTTGCTCAGGATCACTGTCAGTAAGTAGATGTGGTAGACACACTCTAGGGTGACCCTAACAAGTCATGCTTTTTTTGTAATATCTTTCCTTCGAGTGTGGGAGGAGACCTTTGGTGATGTGCAAAATGTTAATGCGCTCAGTTGTGTGTGAAATGAAAAGTTGGATGTCCAAGTCTACCCAGAGGTACCTCAGAAGAAAGCCTGATGATGTACTTCTGGAAATCAGCCATTGAAAACCTTATGGAGTTCTGCTCTGACACACATGGAGTCTACATGAGTCAGGGTGAATTTGACAGCAACTGATTCTGAGTGTGTGTAGAACCTGTGACTTACATCTTGCCAACAGAATACGGCAAAGGTGAAGTGATTTTGCAAATTTGGTTAAAGTCCTAATCAGTTTGACTTCGAGTTAATCAAAAGGGTAATTATCCTGGGGCATGACCTAATCAAGTGCTCTTAAAAGACTTAAGACAGCAAAGACTCTCTTTCTCCTGCTGGCCTGGAAGATTAGAAAGCCACTGTAAATTCTACACTCAGGAGGAAATGAGTTCTGCCAACAATCACCTAAACTTAGATGAGGACCCCAAGCCTCACATGAGACCGTCGTAGCCCCAGCAGAGACACCTTGATTGCAGTCTTGTGAGACTCTGAGCAGAGGACTGCTAAAGCATGTCTAGACTCCTGACTCATGGAAACTGTGAGATAGTCAACAGGTGTTGTCTTAAGCTACTAAATTTGTGGTAACTTTCTACACAGCAATAAATAACTAATACTTTAGAGGAACAAAGATTCTCACCCAGGCAGTCTGACTCCAAAACTTGTGCTTTAAATGCTGGGTTCTCAAGCTGTGGTAGCACAATTGTTAAGTGTTTGGCTGCTAATCAAGAGGTCAGGACTTCAAACCCACCCAGTGGCTCCATGGGAGAAAAGACATGGCAATCTGTATCTGTAAAGAATACAGCCAAGGAAATCCAATTTCCAAGTTCTACTCTGTTCAGTACAAAAAAAAAACACTGCTGTTCAGTGGATTCCAACTCATAGCAACCTCCATTGAGTTCAGGAGGCGGTCAATCTTTACTAAGTAGATTACCCCACCTTCCTTCCACAGAGTGGCTGGTGGGTTTGAACCACCAACCTTCTGGTTAGCAGTCAAATGCCTTAGGCACTGCATCACCAGAGCTCCTTAGTCCATTCAATAGGGTTGCTATAAGTAACAATTGACTCGATGTCACACAACAACAACAAAGGTCTCTCAGATGAGGACCCAGGCTCATGTCATGAACTAAGTGAACAACAAAAAGCTCCATGGCCAATGACTAAGGGATGGAGTTGGGACTAATGCCCCTGTCTCCTCATTTCAGGACTTTTGATTTCTAGCTCTATCCCTGACCTGTATGACCTCCCCTAAAATATAAAGTCATTAAAAAAATAGAAGTTTCGGGAGAATTTTTAACAGATAAGAGTCAATAAAATATTGGTTAAAGGTTAAGAGCTTTCACATAAGTCATATTCATTATGATTCAATAAGGAAAGTCAAAGAAAGTATGGAGAGTGAAGGTCAGAGAAATTAATTTATCCCAAGTTACACAGGCCATCACAGTGGAAGCACTAGGATCTGATCTTGGGTCTGGCACCCATATTACTCCTCTTCACCATACCACCAAAGAGCAAAAGAAGGAATAGATCATCCATCTTCTAGTTTCCATGGATCTGGTAGAATTCTTTCACAAAGGAGTATAATTGGGAAATTTCCATCACCACAGAAAGTAGAATTAAAGAAAATGAATGATAATTAGGCTTAAAAGATTTAGCTTAATCCTAAGTAAGAGCTTTCCAGGGGTAAGGTTAATTAAACACTAACAAGATTTTGATTTTAAAGAAAAAAAAAGGTGCTAGAATTCTGCTTCCAGATTTCTGTTTATGAAGTAGAATATGAAAACAGCAATAAAAAAAAAATGGGGATAATTTTGCAAGGTAGTCAAAATCTTTGCAAGCCTAGGGTTTTCAATTTGACTTTAAGACCAAATTGAGTAAATGACTCTAACTATCAGTCAGAGTTTTCTGGGAAACCATATGAAATGTTAACAACATTAAATTCTTACACACTAATTCCAAGCTTTGTAATGCATAATAGCTTTTCTCAAGAAATTAGTGGTATTATTTTTTAAAATTATCCACCAAGAAAGAAAATGGATTGAAGAACAAATTTCTGTGCTTATGTAATACATTTCCTTTATAGGTGAATAAATTCCAATTCTCCCCCATCACCTGCTACCCCACTGCAGAGCTACAGAAACTCTCCTGCTTTGTATTTTGGTCTTTTCCTGCTGCAGACACACTGCTGCCTGAGACTCCATGTTCAGCCCCAATCTTTTGCTGAGGGACCGTCATGGGACAGGAGCTCTAGGTGGGTTTATATGCCATGAGGTAGGAGCAAGGGAAAAAGTAGAGGAGGGCAATCACAAATTCCACATATCATTTACCCCTCTGCATCATCCCTCCAGATGTTCCAGGATCCCTCCTTTCATTCCACTTCTTACACCAGGCATCTGGCCTTAGTCTTTTGCAAAATACTCAAGAGCGTGATAGCTTCCTCTGACTGCAGCTGAATCACACTCTTAGCTCTAGATATATACCAGAGATCAGCCTTTTCCATCTGTAGAATCCTTGTCAGCATCCAACTGAAAATAGAAAGGTATGAAACCAAAGACAGCATTTTTTTTTTTTTTTAATTGAAAGCTGTGGGACCGTAGTGCAATGTATATGGCTTTTGAGGCCCTGGGTTTGTAGTTCTGTCAAGATGATTTGCTAGGTCACAATCTTGCAAAGGGATTGGTTAGTCTACTATGCAATAAGGTGTGTAAAACCCTGGCAGGGATTGGACAGTTTACCATGCAAACTAGGTGACTGTGTCCTACCAGGGGATTGGTCAGTTTTGCCATCTCAGTAGGCTTAAAGGCTAATCCCACAGATGTTGAAGGGGACCTCAGTACTATCAAGAAGAAGAAGTGGGCCTTTCTGTACACCCAGCAAAGGGTGTACACACTACTGTCCTGGCTTCCCATTGTAACTGAAAGGAGAAAATTTCAGTGTCCTAGAGCCCTTCACGTGCTATAGATGAAGGAGTAGGATGTCCTCAAATTCCTTGAGGCAGGAACCTACTTAGGTGGCACCAACTTTGACTTCCAAATGGAACACTACATCTACAAAAGGAAAAGCGATGGCATCTACATCACAAACCTGAAGAGTTCATGGAAGAAACTTCTGTTGGCAGCTCAGACCATTGTTGCCATTGAAAATTCAGCTGATGTCACCATCATATCCTCCAGGAATACTGGCCAGCAGGCTGTACTGAATTTGTTGCTGCCCTTGCAGCCACTCCTATTGCTGGACACTTCACTCCTGGAATCTTCACTACCAGATCCAAGCAGCCTTCCAGGAGCCACATCTTCTGTGGTTACTGATCCCAAGGCTGACCACCAGCTTCTCACAGAGGTGTCTTATGTTAATCTGCCTACCACTGCTCTGTGTAACACAGATTCTCCTCTGCACTATATGGACCTTGTCATCTGATGCAATGAGAAAGGACCTCATTCAGCAGGTCTCATATGGTGGATGGTGGCCTGGGAAATTCTGTGCATGCATGGTACCAACTCCTATGAGCATCCATGAGAGATCATGCCTGATATCTACTTCTATAGAGATCCTGAAGAGTTTGTAAATGAAAAGCAGGCTACTGCTGAAAATGCTGTAACCAAAGAGGAATTTCATGATGAATGGACTGCTCCAGCTTCTGAATTTACTGCTGCTCAGCCCAAGGTCACAGTCTGGTCTTAAGGCATGTAGGTGCCCTCTGTGGCTATTCAGCAGTTCCCTACTGAAGAGTGGAGTGCTCAGCCTGCAACTGAAGACTGGTACAGCCCCATTTCTCAGACCAGTGAGAGAATAGGAGCCACTACTGAGTGATCTTAAGCTGTTCTTCTACAGTCTCTTAGATAGAAAATAGAAGTAAAGTTGATGGAAAATAGCCATCAGTTTAAAAAAGAAGAAGAAGAACTGGGAGGAGAGCATGTCCTTGTATCCTTTAGATCTGGGGTCTCTGCACAGAGAACCTTCTAGACCCAGGAGGCAGAGAGAGAGAGAGAGTAGTAACATTGGCAATGGCATGAGATAATGGAAGATGATACAAGACAATACAAGTGGCAAGAACAAGGAGACCAGCACACAAAGCAAGGGAGCTGCAGTGGACATGGCAACCAATAGAACAAGAAAGATGAGCACCTTCAGGCAGGAGACCTGCTGGTAAAGTAGGGTGCCAGAGTTAAAAGAGCTATAACACTTGCCTAAGTGGGGAAGGAGGGAGACTGGCATCAGAGGCCCCAGTGGGACCCAGCCCACAGGAACAGGAACAGCCGAGAAGGAGCTGAGAGCTGTCCTTGTTGGAACCTGTGCTATTGCACAAACTCTATCCTGTCACAAGGTTGTTACTTCCAAGTTGATCTGAATCCCAAATTGTAGCCTGTTACTTCCCAATTAAACCACAAAGTCATAAGGATGACCTGTGAGCTCTGTGTGGTCATTGCAATGAATTATCAAACCCAGCAGAGGAGTACAGAGTGCCATGGGGAGGATGGCTGCTTTTAGAATTGGTAAAAGGTTGAAGATTGGAGATATGTCTGACCTTCACCTCACAGGAATCAGCTTTGTGCAGATGATAATTCTCCCTTCTTCTCACGAATTTAGAGGATCTTTGATATCACTATAACTAATAGCATATTAGGAGCTCTGGTAGCATAGTGCCTAAGGCACTTGACTGCTAACCAGAAGGCTGGTGGTTCAAACCCACCAGCCACTCCTCGGAAGGAAG